TTTTTAAATTATATTATTTTAATAAAATATTATTAAAAAAATAAAACAAATATACTTTAAAATTAAGTTTAATATCACTTTGTAATTCAAAATATCTAATTTGTTTAATTAAAATCAAGAATTAATAACGGTTTTTAAGAAGTTAAAATAAACACCCTCTTAACCTTTTAATGATTTTTTAAAAGGCCACATCCAGTTCTTTCTCTCTCTTCCTCTAGGGACATTTTTAATCTAAGTAATAGTGGTTACTTTTTACAATGATTTATAATTTTAGGGCGTAGAGAAGTGCAGTCATTATCATGATAACCAGTGAATCAACTGATAATTTTCGCCTTTCGGGATATGGAGTTGGCTACTCCATTGTTAGGCTGCGATTGGGTTCCTATTTTACATGAAATATTTTTCATGTAAGAAAACCATTCTGCTTCCAAACTTGGCACTAGTTAAATGCAAAGAGGTTTCTAGTTGCATCTTCATCGAACTCTTTATATTGTGTAATTATTTTATTCTTTAATCACAATGACAGTTTATTTTATTAATTTTTATCTTCTTAAATGTGATGAGAAATGGACCAAATGGCAAAGTCTCTTTGCAGTACTCGACCACTGAGAATTCAAAGTGACTAATCACAAAATGTCAATAATCTAACATTTTATAATTGGTATAAAGGGAAATTTAGTGGCTTTTAGAATGGATGATGAAGAGAAGGTGTTTTCTGAATTACTCGAGAACCCTAGTGTCTTTTATTATTCCCCTTGCCAAAACTCTGTATTAGGATGTGATGGGGGTGCTTCTTTTTGTGTTTGTGGCTTTCTAAGGACAATGGGTTACATTGGGATGGATTGTAAGCAACAATACACCAAAATACATTATTAACATCAAGTTCAAATATCCCATTCAACACAACCACCTAATTGGTGTTCATGTACTTTAGTTCGTATCATTCTTAATAATAGCTCAACCAACATAACACATATTTACAATAAGCCAACCTAGACATAAAAAACCTATATCACAATGGGATCAAGGAAAAGTTAAACATTTTCATTGTGTTGGGAGGACTGGGTGGTGGGATCACCAGCAGCAGTTCCTCCTTGCATGCCAAGAGGGTCATGATGAGGCTCTGCAGGAGAGACAATAGGGTCATGCGATATCCCCAAAAAAAATTAATAATAACAATTAAGACAGTTGCAGTAGAATTCATGGCACCTACAGTCAATGGTGTAGTCCATGTAGTGCTGGACTGCAATTCTCACTCACAATATCCTGCAGGTTAGAGAAACAGTTAAAATAATAATGTTAGGTGACTATATGGGTTTTTGGGCTACCAACAAATTGTGTAGATTAGCAGCTCCTTCAAATCAAGCTTTGGAGTGCTCTGAAGGCTCTCCACGCTTGGTTAACGTATTGGCGAAAAGGTGATACCATTGGCAATTTCATTGATCCGCTACGTGGTAAAAAGTACTTTTGAGCATCTCTAATAACGGATTGAAAGATGTTACAATGTGTTTTTCAGAGGGAGTTTGGTGCGTGATACTAAAAAGGTGAAGATTCCATAATCATTTGGAATCCTTTTGTTAAGAAAACCATTCTGCTTCCAAACTTGGTGCTAGTTAAATGTGAAGAGGTTTCTTCTTGCATCTTCATCTGACTCTTCATATTGTGTAATTGTTTTACCCTTCAATCAGGATGGCAGTTATTTCATTGACTTTTATCTTCATAAACGGTGATGGCAAATGGACCAAATGGCATAGTTTCTTTGCAGTATTCTACCGTCGGGAATTCAAAAGACTAATCACAATAATCTGACATTCTGCTTTCTTGGTATGAAGGGAAATTTAGTGGCTTTGAGAATGGATGATGTAGAGAAGGTATTTTTTGAATTACTTAAGAAGCCTGAGTGTTCTTTGTGACTCCTTTCGCCAAAACTTTCTATTAGAATGTGATGGGGAGCTTCTTTTTGTGCTTGTGGGTTTCTTAAGAGAGTAAGTTCCAACTTCTAGACTGTATTACATTAGAATGGATTATTAGTAACAATACTGTAAAAAACATTAATATTAACCATCCATACATTACTACGTGTGATAACTTGTAGTTGATATTATTAACATCAAGTTCAAACATCCAATTTGACACAACCACCTAATTAGTGTTCATGTAATTAAGTTAATATCATTCTAAATAATAGCTGCACCAACATTGTTAATCCATAGCTACGACAAGCCGCACCATGAAACATAAAACGTGCATCATCCATGTGACATGTTCCATAAGAAGCTACATAAATGTGGAATCAAGAGAAAGGTAAACCTCTAAAAAACACTCTAAATAACATGTAGTTTATATAATTAACATCCATTGCAAATATCCCATTCAACACAACCATCTAATTAGTGTTCATGTAATTAGGTTCATATCATTCTAGATGATAGCTGCACCAACATAATCCATGGCTACTATAAGACAAGATAACCATAAAACCTCCATCATCCATGTAACATGTCCCATAAGAAACTACATTAAAGTGGGATCAAGGTGAAGTTAAACTTTTCATTGGATGGCAGGACCACCAGAGGATCCAGCAGCAGCAGTGGTTCCTCCTTTCATGCCAGCAGGGTCATGATGAGGCTCTGCAGGAGAGACAAAAGGGTCATATGTAATACCAAGTTACTAACTCCAGATATTCCTTAAAAAACATTGAGAATATAATAAAGAAGTATATGGGTTAAATATAAGGAGAGTTACTCCATCTATTGCCAATTGGTATTAAGTTGGATGCAAAACTTGTGTTTAAGCCCACATGCCAATTTTCACAAAAATTAATTAAGATACAGCAAACTCCGTGGTAAAATAACGCAATACCTCCAATTACAGGCAGCTGCAGCCCGTACTCGTTGCAGTATTCCTGCCTCACCAAATCATTTCCTGCCAACATTTCAGGTTGAGGGTCTTCCAAGGACAAGAATTCCAATGTTCCATCCTTCTGAAATTTAATAGAGAGATGTAGAAGGAAAACATGCAATAGTCTAGAACTTTTGAAAGCATGCACACAATGTGTGGCTTATGTAATAATATATTATATTAAAACCCAAAAAGAAAAGGTGTATGGTTGGAACTTGGAAGGAAGTAAGGCACAGATAATCGCACCTTCAAATCTTCCTCAAGCTTATTTAATTGTTCTTTGAACTCCTGTTCTTCCTTTTCCTCAGAGTCTTTGAACATGTCAGTAATTCCAGACTCCCCACAAAAGGCCTCGTTATCTTTGAGTTGAAACTGCATTTACAATTAAAACAGAATATATGAGTACTTTTTAGGAATATAATTCAAGTAAACATCAATCATTCAAAACAATATAGATTCAATCATTAACATGAAATCATTTTTTTACCACAAATAAACTATTATACTGGAGAAAAATAAACTCATCCATTATTACAACACAAATAAATACATCCTAAACGGTAGAACCTATAGAAGATTCTCAAAATAACATACAAGAAAACTGCGCCCATAACAAAACATAGAGCAGTTGCCGACACTAGTAGTTCTATAATCAGAAATGTTAAAAGTATAAATGCAACATAACATCCATATATACCTTATCTGAAGTTACCGACAGGTCCTGCAAGTTAGTAAATTAAAATTAAAAATAAGTTAAAATGATAATCCCATGGTATATACTAATTACAACACCATCAAAAGATAAAGCAGCAAGCTCTCTATACCTTTGGAAAAATCAGCATTTGAATTTCCTGCAGGTTAAGAAAAAATTAAAACAGAAATTTCAGAAATAGAATAATATCAACATTATTAAAAGATGATGCAGCAAAATATTCCCAACCTCGTCAAAGTATTGGTTTGCTAAATCTTCCTGGAAGTGGAATTTAAGAGGAGGAGTTGGAAAGAGTCAGATAAAGAGTAATGTGATTAATGTATTAAATACAATCAAAAAAGAAAAGATGGTTGGAAGTACCTCTATAACTTTCCCAAGCTTCTCCAATTCTTCACTGAATATTCTTTTTTCCTCTTCCTTAAATACATTAAAACAAAGATTAGTTAAATAATAAATCAAGGGAAAGGGGAGTAAAAATGTATTGTTCAATCTTGTGAACTGCATTTGTGTGTATATATATATATATAATTACTACTGCATAAACAAAAGTTTTGGATAAGAAACTCATGAGAAAGTTCTCACCATTTCTGAAGACTAATGAATTCACTCTACAAATATATAATTCATACAGAAATCCTTAATTACAAAGCAAAACTATCACTAAATTCAACTAAAAAACTTGTACTTGACAATATACAAAATTAACCTTACAAACAGTAAACAGAACTCTGCAAACTATCCCGTAAAACTCCAGAGCAAGCTGCTTGGCCTCAACCATTCATCATCTGTTATTCTAACAACCGTCTTATCTTGTCTAAAGACTCTAAACACAAGGACAGAAACTGAATACAATCACTCATGGAAAACATATACATGCAACACTTTCCAGCTTCCTCTTTAACCACACAAACTACTTGATGATCTGAATTAATTCACAAATTCTGCTTTTCTCCCATTGATCATTATTGAAGATCAACTCATTTCTATCATTCCAAATCAACCACATAATAACTAACCAAAAAAGCTATGTCCCAACCTTAACATTATATATATCTATCAAACATCCCATAGACAAAATGTAGACAACAAGCATCAACAGTACCAGTGCAAAACAGAGCTAAATCCCCTCGAAGAGTACAACATCTCACTCAAAGATAAAGAGACTGAAGACATTCTAGAAATAAATGGTTCATATCCTCTCCATCAACCCCAGAAAAAAAAAAAAAACAGATAATTGAACAAAGACCTCATTTAATCAAACCACTAGGTCTGCATTTAAATGTTGACATAATTAATGCATCTAAAAGGATAAATAAAACAAATTAAAAGAGGATAGACTCAAGATCAACGATTAATAAATTCTTCTTGACGTCTTTAGGGTTGCTGGGATTGTGGAATTAAAGAAAAAGAAAACTTTGATGATGTGTAAAAATAGGTAAATCAAAGCAATTTATGTTGTGAGAACCAATGAGGCACATTTTACTTGAGATCCTTGCTAAGGATGCAGCAAGAGGCAACAAGCCATCTAACACATTTAAGCATCAATCTTTTGGTCAAGAAGCTGAAACTATAAGCTCAAAATTTGGTGTTGAATGTGTGCCTACTCATGTGGAGAAACAACTAAAGACAATAAAATCTACATGTAATATTATTACAACACTTCAGAATAAAAGTGGGTTCAGATGGGATGACACACTCGAAATGATCACTGTGGACTGAGAAGTGGCATATCAAGAAGTGAGTACATTTATACTACCCTTAGAGGACATAATCTCTCTCTACTAGTTGCTTTCTAAGAGCCCACAAGCTTTTGTACAGTGCTTCATTGTACAAAAGATACTTCTTTTAATCTTAAACACTTGTTACTTTAGGAATTTTTTCCATTGGTTTTTATTTCTAAATTTTTCTATCTACTAAACCTTACTAGGTTCTAATTGTAATGATATCAGTTGGTTGAATACAATATGATTGAGTCAGTGCTTGGGATACAGATTTTTTTTTCTTTTTTTTTTTTTTTCTTTTTTTTTTTTTATGGGAATCATGATGAATATGCCATAAATAAAACCAAAGCTGCATTTACTTGGTAAAGAATTGCAAATGCTAGAATGAAGCCAATTAAATAAAACTCTAGACCAAGGCCTCAAATTTAAGATAGACCTACCAATAACTATGGCTGGACTGCAAACTACTAAGCTTGGCTCTGATATCGGCTACTATATGCTGAAAAGCTAAATCAACATCAATTGAACTACTAATGCTTTTTATCTGATCTCATTCTGAATGCTATAAGAGCTCTATGAATGCTAGCTACCCTGTTTTTACTAGATTACTAGTGTTCACTAAGGCTATGCAAGGTCAATTTTAAAATCTTCCTTATGTAAGTTACAAAGCATTCTGATGGAATTTTAAATCCAATTTGATTGAATATATGCATGCCGAGGTTTTGTTAGTCACAACTCACACCATAAGGACTACTAAAGGGTCAGAGCTTAAACTTGTATCACAAAATATGCCATTCTCCAATAGACCAAAATCATCAAATAATTGAGTACATATTTATTAATTATTACCTTTATAAATGTCCACAATCTTTTCACAGTTAAAATGCATTCCTATAGAATTATTGAGATTGAGAGAGAAAAAAACATCCAAAGTTGTGATAAGGAGGCTATCTTCATAATCATCTCCTAATAATTAATCAATTTTAGCACCATAAGCACTCCCTATCCATTGAAAGACTTATATAAAGAATCGGACATTAATTTTCCCAATCAAAGCAACGACAGAGTAAAGAGCATCTCCAAATAATTAAGAAAGAGAGGCTCAACACAAGATCACACCCTTAATTAGTGTTATTCTCCACATATTGTACATTCTTACTTACTACCCTATAATGAATTAGTACAATACATATGAAAAGTGAAAACACAAGGACATTTGCCTCAAACCAGCACCATGTATAGCCAAACACCAAGCCCCCCTCCCCCCCAACACACACACACACACACATATTTTAGTATACACATACTTAGGTCAAAATCTAACATGATAGAAAAACCATACTGCCTGCGTACCATCTGTTGTTGCTGAAAACCTTCAAGATCTTGCTTGGGTGTGATTCTTCTCCAAGTGGTCTGCAAAATCCCGACGTTGCTCCTCGGGGAGAAACTCGGATGCTTAAGTCAGTGTTTTTCTAACAATGTTTTCCTTTTTTATTCCGTCTATTTATCTACCTTACTTGTGGCCTTTGTCCATCTTGGCAAGGCACCCAAATGGCTTGTCCGTACCCACGTGGCCTAGTCAACCCGATAATGGTGACATGGTGTGCCTGACGGAGTAGGCCTTTTAGGTGAATGTAACGCGTCTTAACGGAGTAACCGCCTTAAATACGCGTGGTGCGTTCCAACGGAGCAGGTCCCTTGAGAAAGGGTGCTCAGGTAAGTCTCAGGTAAGGACAAATAATCAGATGAGGACGTACCTATTGTGACTGCCATGTACTTACGGCGAATAGCCGAGGTGCGGTAAGCTCTGAGCTCTGAACTTTGCCTCGCGTCTTTGCCTTGCGTCTCGCGTATAACTGCCCGTACACCATCCTCAAAGCAGCTCTCACACCACCACCTGAATCTCCACCAAGATATATATGAAAAGATGGACAAATGAAAAGGATTCGCTCTGTCGCACGACCTAACGGAACTCAACCGGTCTGATAGGATCAATCGATCTGAAAGAGAAAATTTCCATCTAATTGTTTGATGAATTTTATAGCAGGAAGGCTTCGTAGAAGTAATTTTTAGCTCGCGAGACATCTCGAGCAAAATAACACTCCCAATACTGAAGCAGTTTCGCCAGTCGAAGCGAACGCCACAGTTTTTTTTCCTTCTCATATCTTTAATTTAATGATTCCAGTTTATAATGTAGTCTTATTATTTTCCTTCTTCAGTCA